TTTGTGCTGCTGCTTTTTTCTCCACAGCAACTATGTGACCCTGTGGCCCTGTATTTTGCATCTTACCCTTGATGTTCAACTCCTACCTCCCAATTCAGTCTCTTTCCATGTAATGATCTGTAAGTGCAATCATTTCTGGTTTGTAACCTCCTCTGTACTCTTTCTATAGAAGTCCAAGACCCTGACCCTGGATACAAAATAGAGAATCCTCTTTTCCTGTCCTCTATACAATTTGCCAGCCACAAACTCATCTGAGGCACCCAAGAAGGAACTTTGCTCCTTCTTTTTTCTTTAAAGCAGGATGAAGGGAGCATGCAGAGTTGCTTGTACTTCAGACAGCAAGAGATTTGCCAAAGATTTTCCATCTGACCCTGCAACTTCCTCAGATGGGTCACCAAGACCCATAACCTTATGTACCCAATGCATCTCCTCTTCCTTTTCCCACTTATCCTGAGTCTCAGCACAGAGTTCAAATCCCCAGGGTACAAGGAGCTGCTTTTTAACGTATACCTTTCCACCCCAGATACCTGCTGCAGGTGAGGGTTCTGGTTATATACATTTCACACAGAGTACAGGTTATATACACAGCCTTCAAGAAGTTAGGCTGCTAACCCACTGCAATGGGGTGAAAGGGAAAAAGAAAACATTTTCATTTTAATCTTTTTTCTAGGAATACCTACATCTACTTTCATGCACAGTATGCAAGAACATATATATAAATATATACGTATAAGTGTAAACGATGGTGATAGGACAGAGATAGTGGAACTCCATAATAAATTGCAGCACTGGGTGATTCATTTCTCTGCCATGTGATAAAGTACTAGCCTCACCTGTTCTCTGCCTAGTAAACCCACCTCCTCTGGGACTATTAACATTCCAAACTCCTGAGCTGCTTACAGTAGATGATTTTTTTTTAAAACATGCCACAAAAATATTTCCTTCTTCTATCTAAATTTTACCCCTCCTCTTCATGGCACAGAAATGGAACTGACTCATTGTCAAAAATTGGCAATAGTTAGTTCTGGATCAACACCAGAGAGAAAGCCTTAAAGTTGCCAAAGAATATCAACTTAGAAAAGATTTGTACAAGTAGATACCCTGCCAGCCTCTTGGTTCATGCAGCTTCTGCAAAGTCTCTCCATACCCCACAGCTGCATGCACTTTTGCCCCAGTTGAGTTAGAAGACAGCTTATATTAAGACACTGATTTCTGTCATTCTCTTGAGTTGTCACTTAAGAAACGGTTCAAAATACAGGTTTCTATAGGAAGATATGGTGGCTTAGCATGGTGGAAGCTCTTAGCAACAGTTTGGGGTAAGCACATGACTCAGAAGTTGCAAAATAGGACATAAGCTGGACAGAGAAGTGTTAAGAACAGTAGCCTTCGCTCCATACCATCATGTGTTCTGCCCATGCCACAAACAATATTTTGCAGAGAAGCTCTCTTAGAAATATTTTCTCACTATTTTTTTTATTCCCCTGACTGTACAACCAGAGTGCTTTTAGTAGCTCAGGTTAATAGGATGGACCTCACAAGAAAACAAATGTATTATAAGACTTCCAAAACAATTTTTAAAAAGCAGTAGCTTTTCCATCAGTCAGAATATTTTAATTCTGTGCCCAACAGCGTTACACATGCCCTGTTTGTAATGGTATATTTGTCTTTGGTACTTATATGACCCGTATTATCATGGTACCTGAGCAGCTCAGAATCTCTAAATCATTTGTTCTCACAGTCCTGTGAAGTAAGGAAGTGCTGTTACCCGCATTTTACAAAACGCTTAAGGCCCAGATCATAGAATCATAGAGAAGCCAGGCTGGAAGAGACCTCCAGATGTCATCTAGTCCAGCCCTCTGCCTGCAGCAGGATCATCCCTATCAAAGCCATCCTATACAAATCCATAATCTAACTATTCATAAAACTACCACCAACCCTGACCACCACAAGTCATTACACCCTAACCTACCACAGGTAAAGCAGGAGAACCATGGCAGTCAACATCCTGCTTCTGTAAAAGATTGTTAATATACACTTGAGAGATCACAGGTAGAGGACCATGATCTCTGCTATGGAGGAAAGCAAAAACCTCACAGTCCATACTAATCTGACCACGACATTTCTTCCTGACCTCAAATATAGCAACTGGTCTGACCCGAAGCAGAAGATTTAAACAACTAATTTCTATTAAAATAAGAAATCAATGGGATTTAAGTACCTAAATCCCTTTGAGAATCTGGGTCTGCATGACCTGCCCAGGATCTCACAGAATGGCTGTGGCAAAAAAAGGAACCGAAACAAAGATTGTCTACATCCTAGGCTAGTACCCTAGCAATTGGACCACCTTTCCTCTCAAAG